CAATAGTGCTCTGGTCTGTACAAAGTATTTTTCTTCAACGTTTTATAGTAAAAGCGATGCCAGAGATTACGTACTAACTGCGTCCTTTGCAACTTCATTAAATTGCAGATAAGATAAGCTCAATTTTGGTACTATACGCTGAATTAAAGGGCAGTTGGCAACGCTATCTATGACAAAACATTTCATGGCTTAAAAATAGTTTGGAGGGGATTACACTCACTGAGCGACTTATATTTTTGACTGTTTTTGACTTTTCAGCCTTCTCAGTCACGTAAAAGAAATTTGCATATAGGCCTACAACAGAATATGGCAGAACATTCGTTGAAAATGACTAAGCGTGCAAATATTTGATTATTTCCTCATCGTTTTGCCTTGCACGGAAATACAGGCGAGATTGAATGAGTTTCTTAAAATGAACTCAGGTATGTCAATATCGAATGGCCTTTCAAAATTTTAAAAACAGTCACCTCAAACCCGATTCCATCAGTAGCTTAATTAGTAGCACATTTTTAAGCTACTAATTATGGTTATTGATTACCGATTTAAGATTCCAGCCTACATTTACGAATGCCGTCAATCATGTCGACGTACGATTGAATCATCTCATTGGCATACTCGACCAGTATAACACATGGAAGTTGGTCGCAAGATGGTAGAGTTCATTTTGACGACCGAGTCGTGATTGTAGCGCCGTTAGGTTAGGTACTCAGTGGTATAGCGTCGTGTGTCGAAGATAAGTAAGTTGAGGAAGGTCGGGCAGTGGGTCGAGGGTGGGAAATTAGAGGCAGATAGTGGACTGGATAGAGGAAAGAAAAGTTGAGGAAGATGAGGATAAAGAGGTTGAAGGGGATAGGAAGTTGAGGGAAATAGGACAGTAGGTCGAGGATAGAAAGGTTGAGGGAGATAGGGCGGTGGGTCGAGGATAGGAAGGTTGAGGGAGATAGGACAGTGGGTCGAGGATAGGAAGGTTGAGGGAGATAGGACAGTGGGTCGAGAATAGGAAGGTTGAGGGAGATAGGACAGTGGGTCGAGGATAGGAAGGTTGAGGGAGATAGGACAGTGGGTCGAGGATAGGGAGGTGGAGCAGTTGGCCGAGGCGAGGGAGACAAGGCAGAGGATCGAGAATAGGAAAGTGGAGAGAGATAGGGCAGTGGGTCGAGGATTTGAGTTGGGATGACTGTATAACTTCACTGGCTCTAAGGTCTAAAGCAGAAGTCGGCAAACTTTTGTCGTTTGTGGGCCAAAATTAAAGGTTGCAGGTCATTGGCGGGTAGCATGTATTTTAGAAAGTTAAAAACCAAAGGAATGGCCAATGAATCACATTTTTTTACCCAGAAATTTCAAGCAGTGCGCGAAGACTGATCATTTGAATATTTTCAGCGTCATTAAACCATTTGCGCTCAGCATCAACTTTTTTACGTTCTGTTGCCATTTCTCTAATTATAATCAATTATAAGCTCATTAAACGAGTGATTGTGAATTATATATTTATTAGGTTATAGTATAATTTAGTTTCTCAAAACAAATTTTGTCACGTAAAGACTATATTCGTCAATAAAGATGTTTTGTTAATATAATTCAGTGAAGCGTCGCGGGCCGAATCCGGCCCGCGGGCCGTAGTTTGCCGACCCCTGATCTAAACCCTTCAATGAAAGTTTGATCATTTTACTGAGTCGGCCGATATTTGTCCCATCACTGCATCTAGAAATCACTGATACATTTATGCATAGACCGAATTCGATGTGAAGCTATCAAATATAATTGGCTTCATAACTACAAAATCTCCCTTAACAACGAAACATTGCGATAATCCTAAGTGCTGAAAGAGCAACTCAAAAATACGATTTCAATCCATTCATTGCTAGTAGACGGTTTAACAAGTATTTCATGGTTGCCGTAGTATATTAGTTAACTCAAAGGCGAGCAACAATGAACACAATTGAATTGATATGACATCACTTTTCAATTTCTCGAGTCGGCCATGGATTGAGCGCTGAGTGTTGCTCGGGAATTTTCTATTCTGAACCCCTCTCTTTTAGAAAACCATGGCTGCTATTTGAATCACTACCACATTTCGACACCACCATCGTCCAATTTTTTTAGTGACGTTAATGCTTCTTCACAGATACAAAATTACCCAAGTCAGTTTTTCAAGTGAACGAATAGCTCGCGGAGCCCTGAGGCTCCGTACGGAGCTCTTATAGCAGTGGGGATCAACGCCCGACAAAAGACTCCTCTTCTCACCCTCATCGGATAGAAATACATTTCTCAAACCATACATATAAGCGGAACAACAGCGAATAATGTATAAAGATTGGTTTCACGTGTATCTTGCAGCAAAGCATCCAAAATTCATTAAAAAACCAATACATTTTTCCCGCCTATCAGCGTTTTCATACATAAAATACAATTACAGATCAAGGCTAGAGGTAGAAAAATATCTTCGAGTTGCCGTCTCCCAAATTAAACCTCGATTTGATATGTTGTGTATTATACACAAAGCTTATAATTTGCATTAGTCATAATAAACGCTATTATTCACAATTTTATGTGATAAATTTCATATAATTTTGTGCAAGAAAAATGCTAGAGTCGACAATAGTCTTAAAATCGATAACTAATTACATGTTTACCAAATGCTTGGGTCGCGAGAAGTTAGAGAATTTTTTTTGGGGTCGCGCTAAAAAGTATTTGCGGACCCGTGGCTTAGGCTACCGATCGGTACTGCGGTATTTGGCCTCCGTGTCTATATAAGCTACTTGAACTAATCTCTCCTGTTGTTACTTATGTTCATGTCTTATCACAATACTCACAAGTTAAAATCTGGATAAGATAGAATTTAGCCTACATATTTATCCCTGAGAAAGTAAAGCCGGTAAGAGGGTCTAATCATATGGCGAACCACAACTTCTCGTCCGGTTATCAGTCCATGTCGGGTATGTGAATATAGTTAGCAAGGTATTTGTTTCAGGTCATTGGACTTAATGGCGGAGAAAGCTGTAACCGACTATCGGTTATGTGAACCGCCATCCCTAATTAGAGATTATCTCATCGTCCCACGCGCAATACGAAAGCCATTTTACAAGTTTCAAAAGGCGAAGTTTCTGCAAATAATAGACTCAAAGAGGATAGGAGGTGTCGGGTGCAAAAGAAGTTAAGGTAGATTTTGAAAATTCTGCCAATATCGGCCTGGAAAGGGATAAACTTGAGTTTGAAGAATCTATTATAAAATGTAACTAAATTTGAATTGGTCAAAGGCGCAAAAGACCACCAAAGTTATAAGCGCCACAAAACATATAACAACAACAAAAGGAATTGTCAAGCAAAAAGTGGTATATAAAATGAATTTTTGGAAAATGTTTGCGAAAATAAAATGTTGCTCTGAGCAAAATAAAGGGTCACCTAGTGGGCGGTTATTGTGTATAGTTTTCAACAACTGCAGTAAACATGATGTGATGTTTTGAGCATGGTTGGAAGAACAGAGACAATGAGAAGATCTAAATTTGTAAATAATTAAGATACTAAATTCAACGTGCTTTATATGAATTATGAGTTCTGTTCTTTGAGGTAATTGAAGCAATTTGCGGTCTCATCTCGAATCCTGCCAAGCTCACATGCACTTCGAAAATATCACATATTTTAACGGCAACATATATTTCTCCGCGTATCAGAAGCCAAAAAATGTATTCGTAAGTGATAAAGTGTTGTGGACCTGCCATCTGGTAGGAGAAAGCTGCATTAGGTCTAGTAGATAAGTATGATATAGAGTTAAAATCAGTATTGTAAAATTGGTATTTTTTGCATGCGGCTTTCAACAACCTTTTCTGCGGCTCTTGTTAATGCTTAAAAAATTAATTACTTTCAAAGAAAATTTTTTATTGAAAACTAATCATTAACCTGAAATGAAAATGTGTAAGTCTATTAGTTAGTCCAGTGGTTCTCAAACTGTGGTACGCGTACCAGTAGTGGTACGCAGAAGATGATCAAGTGGTACGCGGGCAGTCTTGAATTATTGCAACAATTAACTTTTGAGCTGGCCAAAATATGCCGACAACGCTTTATCTTCCATACTGTATGTATTCGCTGAACGGCCTTTATGAAGTTCCCCGTGCATCAATTTCCTTGTTTATTTCCGTAACCAGCAACAATCAGTGAACATTGCCTGGTTATTTGTCAGTTTTCAGTTGCGTTTCAAAAAAATAATTGCGAGTTAAATATCTTAATTGGTATTATGTCTTCAAAAGAGCATTAATTTTGATGCTTTAATCAAAAATGAGTCTCGCAAATGCTGCGATAGACTAATCTAAACTAAGCTATCATTGCCTGTAAGCGGCACATGGTTGAATAATTTTAATGAAAATGAGGGTTTTCAAAATTATTTGCAATAGTAAAGTATAGAAAGAATTCTTCTGGGGTCAAGGGTCAGAGAAACGTCTTATGGGCCAGTCCAGCCTTTAGAGATCGCTCTCGCCTGCTATTGTCCACGAACGAATCGAGACGGGCATGTTCTTCCGTCTTGCGAATTAGGTCACTAAGGATGTAGTGCCACGTTACAAAATACTCCAATAGCGCGTGTCTTGTGCCATTGCTCCCTGCACCAAAAAGAGGCTTTTCAGTGGTACGCGGCCAGTAAAGGGTTGAGAACCACTGAGTTAGTCGAACGGATTCCCCGTGTTTATTTGCTTAGCGGTGACTAATCTACAAGATGCAATAGTGACGCAACAGTAAGCGTTTTCGCGGCCCATCGTACACTTTTCACTTGGAAAGATTTTAGACAAGGCTGTAATCATTGGCTTGCTTTCGTGGATTTTCAGTTTTGTCGCATTTCCGAATATTATGTAGAAATCAAATAAGTCAATGATTATTTAAATTTCTAGAGCATTCTAATTTTGTTCCAGTAATCGAAAATAGTCCCGAAATATCTGGCGATCATCTCAAGCAGCTACTGTACCTTGCAGCCTCCACGATTACGACCCGCTTTGACAAACTTATTAGAAAAGTTATATAAAAAAGAATCATATTTTCATATTTATTGTAAATCATTCGCGTGAGATATGTACTAAACAAAGTATAACTCATACATATATTAAATGATGCCACCTTGAAGACTCGGGCTATATTTTAAACTGTATAGGCCTATAGAACAAAATCTTCATTTCGTTGAACGAAGCAATAAAGTTTTGCTTTTTTGGCTTAGCTAACTACTGCTAATATATCGATGCAAAAATTTAGCCCGTATCAAAAGTATGAGCGTCAGTAAGTATAATGTGCTTATTGACAAAAGAACCTCCTTATACTGGACCGTTAAATGTGGATATAAGAGAAGAAAAAATAGGAAATTCCCATATTCTTCACAATGCTGAATATGGGATGTATCAGTTGATGGTATTCATTCGGGAATTGCTACTTCAGTAAAAAGTTAAAAAAAAATTATATAAATGTAACACAAGGCACTATGCCAAGCATATGTAACAAAATACTGTTTTCGAAAACTACAGTGGTTTAACAAAACAAGTTATATTTACAAATGAAAATAGCCAAAGTGAGGTTAACTATATAGATTGGTAAATTTGGTCCGACTTAACTGGACGGATTATTAACTAGTCACAAGTGAGATATACAAACGGTTTGTGTGATTCCGGATTACCTGTTTATAAGTGTTTATTAGCGCTTCTTACCACAACGAATCTGTTAGAGACTGCGAAAGAGAAAATAGATAATGTAATTTGTGCGTAGTGTCACATCTACACATATTCAGTGTTTGCCATGTTTTTTCCTTTGTTATAAGTAGGCATATAAGGTGTTCTTCTAACACTGTCCTCCTCATCGTCAACCAGACTACCACATCCGGAGACAAGGGCCCCAAGAACAAGAATCGCGATGGAGGCCCATCCCACGAATAGACAGACACCGTAGATAAATCGCTGCCCTATATCATCCCGGAAAAGAAGTATATCACGATTGTATTCGGATAATACCTGCAAAAATTAAAACTGTATATTATAACTGAAATATTATGGATAAACTACACCTGGTGATTTATTTACGGAGTATCCGTGGTTTTTTGTATTCAGAAGTTGAGATTCTATGAAGTAAAACTTGTTCTAAAATAAAAGTAATTTACCTGGTGGGCGTAGAATGAGACGGCTGCTCCAATGGAAATTCCACTGAGTCCAAAGGCAATGGCCCCGACCATTGAGGTTCTTGCTTTCATTCGGGGATTTCCCTCAAAGCAGTTCGTGCATTGCATTCCCACCAAACTTACTATGAAGCCCATGAATCCAAGAATACATGCTGTAACACTCAGTCCTCTAGCAACCTAATGGTAATTTTGAATGAAAAGTATGGGATAAAAAACAAAACTATATATTAATTGTTTTTAAATATTGACATCGCCTAGCAAAATAAACAACCATATATTATATATATATAATACATAAAGCTGTGTAATTATACCTCAAGTACACTCCAATATACGTACATAAAAGTATTTTCATTTTAGACGGTTCGCGTCATTCTGTCTGCGCATTAGATAATAGTATACCTGTAACTGCATTGGGAGACCAAGAAAAAAGGCGTCGTAGTCGTCACATTGCCATTGCCCAGTGGGATATGCGATGCACCGGACCCATATACCTAAAATATATTCAAAAAATATAGATAATTCAGAAAATATTATTAACTTGTGAATTATCAGGGGGCTAAAAATGCCAGCATTCACCAAAAGGGTGTACTACCTGTTTCTGTTCATTTCTTAGAGAGATAATTTGGGCTAAAAACTCGATTAACACTAAATTAAACTTTTTGTAGATCTGATTGTTTCGAGGAATGGAATGATAATTTTATTTATTAGTAATTGGACAATGCCTTCCCCTTCGGTACCTAAACAGGGTATTATGACGTTCTTTCCTGGCATCATGCCATTTTATTACAGGCCTGAGTTCCTTGAATTGTACGTTTCGTATTTGGAAAAACCCTTTAAGGTGTCACAAAACATTCAATGGTATAAACGTTTGCTGTGGGAGGGGCAACACAGATGGAGTCGTCGCAATCCGGCTATGATTTTACGGTGCCTATGGCACCAATGCTCCGGACAAGTAATCGAAGATATTATAGGTCGCATCTTGAAGAAATCTTAGAACAACAGGATCAAATGTGAAATGAATATTCTCATACCTTGGTGTCTCACAATAGATTCTAACACTTCCCCAGCTGGGTCATTTCTTCTCCATTCCGGTACAAACGTGGTTACAAGAACGCAAATCAGTCCCACGCTATTCATAATAAATCCGATTAGTTGAAGAATCCCGTTCATTGTAATAGTTGTGGGATAATAATTTCGGAAAGCACAAATTTAAACTGAAATACATCATTGAAAAAATAGGTAATTATGATTTTACATTTAAAATTATTATGGCTATCCCATACAATATTCTATTATGAGATAACTAGAATTACATACATACATATTTTAAACCAGCCTGAATCAGTAATAATTTTTATAATTATCAATTTTTGTACAAATCCCTTTGAAAAACGTAGAAGTTTATAATCATAGCTTTACCACTTAGGTTTTCACTATTTTCTGCAAGGCACATCTTGTAATTTCGCTCTAGTTTATTTGCTTTGCCAAGCTTGTTAAACATCTTAAGTCTACATTAATTTATGTTGCATAGAAAATTATCTAAAACTCTGATTGGTAAAAAGAAAATTTTAAGATCTTTGATCAATTCAAGCGGGTTTTAGAATTGCCGTAGTAACTAAAACCCCCAAAAACCTGTTTTGAATTTATATCAACCTTGTTTTAATTATATTTTTAACTAACGTGAATTTACAAAATTTTGCCATCGGAATTTAAAAAAGTATTTTCCGCATGCGATTCTTTTGCTATGGGTACCAATAATCTGGACTGTATTTGGAGAAAACTTTAAAAAAAAAACTGGCGAGCAGTTTTGTGTCCCTGAAATTATACTTTTTCTTCAAACCAGCAGTTAATCTCAACGATTTGGGATATGCTTTCATAACGATGAAATCTTCAGGCAACATAATAAATCCATTTGGTCGATTTTATAAATCTTTTTTATTCTAACAGACACCTCACTCGTTAATTATTAATTAAACCCCGTCTCTGCCTACACAAAGTCAGATGACTGTCCGACAAAGAAGCTAGACGAAAGAAAGGCCCAGAAAGAACAAAGTGAAACCAAACGAACATTCATATTTTAGGTTATACCACTATAAAACAACAGGGTGCGGCTAGCTTGCTGAGAATGCCTTCTTCTCAACGTATTGTTACAAAGCCTATTAGTATACATACTCCCCCGCGTGAGAATGAATTCCTTCTCTACTAATCTTTTACGACGCGAAACAAACGTTAAGTTTTTCTCCGTGAACAATAGGTCCCACAGTGTGACGACGTTCTCAGACAATAGCAAAAAGTCGATCACAGTTGGAAATCGAATCTCCTGTAGACGCGATTGCATTGTCTTTTGATAATTAATAGAATTATAATACTAGGCAACACTAGGCTTTTACACATATCAAACTGCTTTCCCCTCTTTCCAATTCAATTAGCTCGTCATAAAGACTGTTTTTTTGTTTCACATCATATTGATTAGGACTATCGTTTGACGCTAGGAGAAAAGCGTCATAGAGGTAACAGATAAATAAGCGTTGTGCATTGATGATTGAAGCTTAAACAGTATGAAACAGCTTTGATTCAAACTTGTTTAAGAATATATTTTCTGTGAGAGAAATATATTTATCATTTTTGGAACTAAAAGAATATAGATGTTGAAATTATCTATTATTATACCAAGACAACACACGAAGGAACAACAAAGAATCCGAATAACAATAACGGGAAGCACAAATCAAAACATTCACTACAGTCATAAGCTAAACATTGCTATTGTACATGGATTACAAAGGAACCTAAATCTACGCCCGTTCCATAATGGTGTATTTTTTTAATAATCTTGTAAAGAATCGTTGAGGCTTCAAGCTCTAAAGATAGAAGATTTGTCTTTACTTGACATTTCAACATGCGAAACTCAGTTATTCCTGACAATTTGACCAATTATAAAGAAATAGGACATATCTAGCTGATGAATTCATAACAAGCATTATAATCGGAAACGAAAAAAAGTGCTAAATATTTTGAGAACAAAACAACATAACATTCTGAATATAAAAATCAGTAAAACTCCCTCACGTTGATATTCTTCCTGATATTGAAAGTTAGGGTCTACTGACTGAAACAATATAAAAAACCTAAATTGTGGAGGACATCATTGATTTGAACATGAGCAATCAGTAAAAAATGAAAATGTTAGATATCCTTTTTATTGAAGATGTTTCGATTTAATGTATTAAAATTCTGTTCAGTTTATTATGACAACAATTTTAGTCTAAACCAAACAGCTTGGACCATTTAATTATACAATTTCGGCCACAGGACAGTATAAATAATTAAAAACAGGGTATGTAAAAACAGAGGTCACGTGATAATGTCCCACATGAAGCAAGCAAATACCTGGAGTTACCAAGGCCAAGAAGACGATGATTGGTATCGGAGCTCGTTACAAAAAGTCGTTAATGACAAGAAAAAGTAGAATCAGAGACAAGCTTTTTCCTTGTATCTGATTCAGTCAAAATGTTACAAAAATACTTTTATGTTAGTCAGAAGCAAGTTTTCTGAATCTCTGTGAACATTCATCTATATTTTTGCTTCAGCACTCCGAATTGTAATGTTCCCCTACAACATTGTGATTATCAAAATGCGAAGCAAATTTGTATGCAAAAAATTGCGAACATTTTCTGTCGTCGCTATTCTTTTAACTTCAAACAGGATTCTACATCCACGTTTCATTGGCTTTGAAATTACTATTTTATACATTTTGTTCCCCCTCTGGGTTAAAATTCTAGATACCTCCTGGTGCAACAATAATGTCGTCACGCTAATAACCGAATTGCGTAAGTCATTTTTGGCGATTTTGAGTTTTTTATAAAATAGGTATTTATGTAATGCTGCGCACCTGTCTGTTAACTCAGATTTTATTTTAAGAATTCCGAAACCCATAAAAATGAGGATTTAGTATGACATGCACATTTGTGCAATTGTTTCGTCATAATGAATTATCATTGTTACCGCAGGACTATTGTGACGTCACAAAGGTAAAAACCTCGGCTGAGTATTTTTGAGTTTTTGCATCTCGGAATCTAGCTTAGCGCGTATTAATTTGAATTTATACTACAGTATAGGAAGACGTGCACTTGTGATATTTACTGTCCGAGTCCAATTCACCTTGGTTGGCTTTTATATTGGGTGTATTGCTGTTTTATTCTTTATATTTAATCTTAGTCTTATTCCGGTGGTGTGCAGAACGTGTTATATTAATGAAATATATATTTTTAAACATAAAAAATAATGTAATTGAAACTGATTAGCTATTTTTGGGATTATACATTGCAGATACTGAGAATTACATTCGTTTTTGGAATGTTTAGTTTTCAGGACTGGTGCATATAGTAATGTTGCAAAATTGCGTATATCCCCAAGTCATAGACACATTTCTGCCTAAGTCACAGTGCGCTATTATGACGTCACTTAACTACGTCATACAAACTAACTTAAATCCGGCTACGATCAAAAAATTGAACCATGGCAAATTATTGACTCTCAATGGCATAACAATATCATTAGGAAGTTTTTTACGTTTTTCTTAAAACAGCTAAAAATGACTTACGCAATTCGGTTATTAGCGTGACGATGTGTTACTTGAAATATAAATTTTTTCATTTCGAAATCACGGTTTATTTTCCAAAATTATTTGCATTAATTAGAATTCAGGTTAAGTGGGCATTGTACATTGTTTCGTTTGTCAAATAACGAGGTCAAAATGGCGTTTTAACTGGTAAAATTGAAAAAGGAAACGCAATTCCTATCGAGACTTTGTAATAATATACTCATGCCCAGCAGTTAAATCCGCTATATAAAGCAATGATGTAGAAGTAAATTGCCGTGAGACGGAAAATCGGATTTTAAACCTAATTCCCTTCATTATAGTGTGTGAATTTCAAAATATTATTAAAAAGTCAATACACAAGTTTAGGAGTTATGCTTACCGGTAGAAATCGAGGAAATCCTAATATGAATTGCTGACTGAAACAAATATTTTAAATAAATCACAGAGCTAGTCGTCAATAGTATCAACATGTGCGACATTAACTTAATTTCAATAGGCTTGGGAAAAGACCCCGGACTTGGGAATATGAATACCTTTGCTTTACCTAGCGAGTTCAGAATAATGCATCCGCAATAATACGCAAAAATAATCGACAGCTAAAGATCGGCATATGTATACTCGTATAATTACATCCTTATTAACAACATGTTACTTTATCGAATACGACCTGTATCTTACTGATGATTGCTTCTGTCTATAATAAAAAGGACAACAAATTATTCAACTGTTACTGTCACTGTTGTTATGCTTCTAGCGTTGTTTGACGTATAGTACGTGTCGTTTTGAAGTTAGAATCTTGGTTAATATGGTCGAATAGAGATATGGAATTTCTTTTCACATTCAATTGTCGCGATGCCAATGCACATGAAAACGAAGGACATTCATTAGGAAATATACACGTTTCAAAGACTTGTTTTAATATCCTAAGCATACACAAGTCAAACGCACACATTAGAGGTGACCATGCTGTTTTCGACTGAGTTTGAATAAAATATGCGTAATATCTTGCGCCCGAACGGTCGTCGATAATATATAGTCAAACACAAAAATGTATGAAAACTAAATTTTGAACTGAACCTCAGAGAGGGAACCTTCGCTTTAATACCCTAAAACACCAGCAATCAGATTTACTGACGGGTGGTTATATGACCATCCTAATAACCAGAAAACTCCCATTCGATTATTTCCGAAATATTTCGACACCCAATACAAGTGTACTTTTGCAATTGAACCGCTATTCCTTGGCGCACTTCATGAGGGGTATTTACATTTATATATATATAATCATAGCAAGTAATTTTTTTACTTGCATAAGACGAATCTAATACATTTTCTTTCTTGGGTCTGAGCCGAAATTGGATCGGATGTCGTGTCGAAATACATAAAACTGAATTATGTTGTGCTTCACTTTTCGTAGGGGAAATTCAGTTATCTCGAAGTTCGATTAGTAGATGCAATAGGAATATGAAGTTAATTGTTAAACAACTGATGGTTCCGGTTATACAGGTTGTGTACATTCCTCTGTTTAACTATAGTTGAATCGTTTATGGGGAAAAAATGGGTCCTGCTGACTGTTGCTATTGTTCGAAAAATGAGGTTTGACTTTATATC